CAATTCATCTCAGTTCTATAGACACCAATTACGACTTATACCTGTTATTACTCTCTCTCTCTCTCTCTCTCTCTCTCTCTCTCTCTCTCTCTCTCTCTCTCTCTCTCTCTCTCTCTCTCTCTCTCAGTATTACTTAAGCCTTGAGAGTGTCTCTTCCCGACATGTTCCTAATACTAAAGTCAAGGTGTCATGCTAGGGAGGCTGAATATAAAATCTCTCTCTCTCTCTCTCTCTCTCTCTCTCTCTTTATTCGCCCATTATTCTGGAGGTGTAGCGGAAGTTTATTTTTTTCGATATCCTACCTACATTAAAAAGTTCAGGATAAGTTTATCACTCTGCTCCCTCGAGACCCTCAATCTGACCTAACCTAACCAAACCTAACCTAACCTAACATAACCTAACCTAACCTAACAGTACATTACAACGGCCCGTGAAGTATCAGTTGTGAGTGTTACAACCCTGGCGAGTGCGTGTGTGTTGTTGTGGTGTTTGGTGACGCGTTGGTGAGGTGGCCTGTGGTGGGAGGAGTGGCCTAGGTGGGAGTGGCCTGTGGTGGGAGGGAGGAGTGGCCTGTGGTGGGAGGAGGGTGGCCTGGGGTGGGAGGAGGTGACCTGTGGTGGGAGGAGGTGGCCTGTGGTGGGAGGGGTGAGTGGCCTGTGGTGGGAGGAGGGAGGAGGTGACCTGTGGTGGGAGGGAGGTGACCTGTGGTGGGAAGGAGGGACCTGTGGGCCTGTGGTGGGAGGGAGGGTGACCTGTGGTGGGAGGGAGGAGTGACCTGTGGTGGAGGAGGAGTGACCTGTGGTGGGAGGAGGAGTGACCTGTGGTGGAAGGAGTGACCTGTGGTGGGAGGAGTACTGGGTAAGGGGTCTCTGTGTGTGTACTCCCTCCAGTGTGGCTCCTATGGTGTGGTATGTGGTTACCTCGCCGTCGTTACAGTCTTCGTTTGTGGTCATAGTCGTGGTTTGTGGTCCATAGTCGTGGTTTGTGGTCATAGTCGTGGTTTGTGGCCATAGTCGTGGTTTGGTGCCATAGTCGTGGTTTGTGGCCATAGTCGTGGTTTAATAGAAGGTCATAGTCGTGGTTTTGTGATCATAGTCGTGGTTTTGCATAGTCGTGGTTTAATGATCTTAGTCGTGGTTTGTTGATCATAGTCGTGGTTTGTGATCATAGTCGTGGTTTGTGATCATAGTCGTGGTATGTGATCATAGTCGTGGTTTGTGGCCATAGTCGTGGTTTGTGATCATAGTCGTGGTTTGTGATCATAGTCGTTGTATGTGATCATAGTCGTGATATGTGATCATAGTCGTGGTATGTGATCATAGTCGTGGTTTGTGATCATAGTCGTGGTTTGTGATCATAGTCGTGGTTTGTGATCATAGTCGTGGTTTGTGATCATAGTCGTGGTTTGTCCTGAAAAGCTACTATATAAACAACACAGTCCGGCTACATTTCTTCACTGCCACAAGGTCACTGTTGTTGACAAGATGTAGAATCCCCTCACCTAACCTAACCTAACCTAACCTAACCCAGCCTGCCAGCCATTAGGACCTGCGAGTACTATAGGATGGTGGGCAGGTCAACCAGGATCGAAGGCAGTGCTCACAAGTAGGTCGCACGTGTGGGCAGGCAGAGAATCTTGAGACCTTCAGTGTTAAGAAGTGGGGCGATCCTTCTTAGAACAAACCAGTGTAATGGATCCCCCTCTCTCTCCCCCTACCGTGGGCGTGTGTAAGAGTTGTTGTCTCTCGGTCAGGGTTGACAGCACAGGTTCTCTCTCTGATGGTCTTGTGTTACGTGAACGTCTGGAGGAAGAGATGAAACTGTTTTGATCAGTCGTCTTGGTCACGTCCTTCTGGGGGAGTTACATAACCTTTGTTTGTGTAGGGTAGGTGACCGAGGACTGCCCACTGTTTTGTTTACATCAAGACGACCCGGTAAGTTTTCTTCAGCTGTGTCGAGAATAAGGGAGCGTAAGAGAGAGAGAGAGAGAGAGAGAGAGAGAGAGAGAGAGAGAGAGAATTGTCTTGGTGACTCACTTTGCCCGTGTTGGTTGTAAAGATAGCTGGGTATTGAGGAGGAGAAGGAGGTGAAGAAGGAAGAGGGGGGGCTGTGTAGCTGAGTACACTCTCAGGAACACCGCCAGTGCAGGCAGATGGTGAGGAGAACGTTCGATCGATTGGCGTAGCTACCACAAGCTACTGATCGCTGGTGCTGGCGTAGTTTGTGACAGTAATGGCTTTAGCGTGTTGTGGAGGTTCAGCGCTCCAGAAGTCGCACCTGTAAAGTAAATTGGGAGTTCCAGGTATATGTCTACTAATTAAAAAAAATAATAATTTTTTTTCCAAAACAAAGAAGAAAAGAAGAAAATGTAAACAAAAATTCAGTATATATATTTTTTTAACTCCAATTTGGTTTTAAAGCCACACCATACTGACCTGACCTTGTTACCTGTGAGTGACCTCGTTAATATCGTGAAACTATGATAAACCTGATTAGTCTCCTCTCCTGTCAACAGTGTGTGGTTATGTACGAGGTGGGGGAAGGAGTGATGGGGGTAGTGAGGGAGGGAGAGAGGGAGGGAGGAAAGGAGGTAAAGGAGTCAGTGTGGGCGAAGTGTGGTTAATGAGTGAGAGGGAGGGGGGGTATGGGGTAGAGGTATGTGTGGTAGGCAGTAGTTCCCCCTTTTTTAACCTCGTCAGCCATTTCTCGACTTAACATGGAGAATCATCCCGACGTCCAGCCAAATAGCGTGTTATGACCCGCGTTTAATAGTCGCATTAGCTATTAGAGGTGAAAGTTGGTCTTGTTTACTGCGGGAAGAGAGGAAAGATCTCTCTCTCTCTCTCTCTCTCTCTCTCTCTCTCTCTCTCTCTCTCTCTACCCCATTCGTTTTTGCCCTTCCCTCTCATACGCTTGCATACACAAACATACACTCACCTCTCACTCTAACACCACTCACACTCACTCTCTTTCCCTCTCCTTATTCACTAACACTCTTGCCCCATCCTCTCATCCATTTCCCAGTGTCTCCTTTCCCATTACTTCTCCTCCTCTCTCATCACCCCATCCTATCTCCTGTCACTCCACCTCTCCCGTCACTCCTCCACCATTCCCATCACTCCCATCCATCCTCCAGATTCACCTTTCCCTTAATCTCATCCTCCTCCTCCTTTTCCATCATCTTTCACCATCCCTTTCATTAATCCTTCCCCTTTCCTACCCCCTCCCTTCATTTACCTGTTAATTTTCCCCCTTTTTTTCCGTATATATATTAGTTCATTTAGCTCTGCGCTTGCCTTACTTATGTATTCATGTGGTTAAGCATATTTATACCTTAATACAACTCAATTCACCCGTAAGATGGAGTATGGTGAATGAATGTGTATGGTGATGCTATTTAACGTTGTATAATGTGTATGTTAAGCTGAGGTTGAAGGAAATACATGTAGATAGTTTCTCCGTTTTGTCTTGTACTTCATTAACTATACGAATATTTTCCACAGTTATTTTGTACCTCTGTTCTCCTTCCCTTACTCTCTTCTTCCCTCTACCCCCTTACTCCCCTCGCCTTCTCCCTTTCCCTCTCTCCTCCTCCCTTCCTTCTACCCCTTACTCTCTCTTTCCCCTTCCCCCTATCCCCCTCCCCCTCTCTGAGTTTTTTTTGTGGGGGGGTTACGTAATGATTAGCTCTCACCCATCCTCTCCCCTTCCAGGCTATTTCACCTGATCATTATACACCTTAAAATTATCTGGGTGCTTAGATTAGGTTAGGTTAGTTTAAGTTTATATTAAGGTGAAATAAGCTTAAGGGACTGGTCTTCGCGTTATCCTTCCTCGTCAGCCTCCCTGCTCAAACTGAAACTCTCAGGGCGACAGTTTATGTGTGGGTAAAATTGTATCAGTATAATCTATCAAGTTTCTCATTCACTTCGGAGTAGAGAATGACGAGTATTAGTTTAAGTGCTTACGAGGCCTATTTTACTCTCTGTTTCTTGTGTTATTTTATTATTTTCCTTTTATTTATCTTTATAACGTGTGTGTGGGACTAAAAAACTATTCACTGTTAAATCATTGGAATGCTTATTAAAAATGCCTAACATTATATCAGTCGAAAGATTAATGAATGGATGAATAAATGATAAGAACAAAGAACTGATCATTATATATATACCTTCTATAACATGATATAGTGTCATGGGGTCATGGGTAACACACACACACACACACACACACACACACACACACACACACACACACACACACACACACACACACACACACACACACACACACACACAATGGTTTAACAGCATAAATACGTTACTCTATAATAATTTTTCTTGACAAAATTTTTTTTGACACAATGAATTTTCTACCACGACTTTTTTTTCCAGGAGCGAGGAACATGACGACCCTCTTTATAAATTACAGGAGTCCCTCCATAATTGATCGTTGGTTCAGTTTTCTATAAAAGCTACCTCAGGGAGGAGAATGGTCCAGGGTGTGAGAGCGGGGCTGACTATCTTAATACGGGCCTGGCATTCCATTCATATCAATATATATTCACTACAATAGTCTTACTACTTTAAATTTGTTCAACACTAATTTAGATGTTTAATGATGTGAAATATCTTAATTTTATTTCAACTAATAGAAGGATAGAACCAAGAAGTCACTAATTAATTGTTCTTGGAGGTAATATATTCAGATTAACTTATTCAGCTCCATCTATTAGGATCCTTCCAGAGATTGATTGTTATTGCTTTTGTTGGTTATTGTTATTGTTAGCACTTATTGTTATTGCTATTAATAATGCCATGTTATTACTGTTATCAAGGTTATATTTAGTGTTATCCGTGTCAATTTTATTATTAATGTTGTTGCTATTATTGTTATTAATATGGTAAAGAATGATTTTTGCACGTAACAATGTATGTGTGTCACTAACGTAGTTTGTGTTGTCGTTTGGTGGTGGTGGTGCTGCAGGCGACGCGGGTGGAGGCAGGTGGTGGAGGAGGAGGAGGTGGTGCTGGGGAGACTCCACAGAAGTCAGTAAGTCGGGTGACCTCGCTCGACCTCACCCAAAGAAACCCGCACCACCCTGCTGACCCACCCGAGCATGAGGTAAGTCTTCTTGACCCCTTAGTTCTCCTTCTGACCTCTTAGTTATGACCCAAAACAGCATCAGGCAGGAATGAAGTACCTCAGTGACCTACCTTCACTGTTGACAAGCTAGGTATGTTTTCCTAGCCGAGATTGAGGGTTCCTGTGGCGCCAGAGAGCTAATGCAACTCTACGGTAACGGCCCGCCGCGTTCTACTATCTCACTCACTCAAACTTACTTAAAGATTCTATTCATAAGTCACACTTTTTCTAAGTTTTGTAAATAAGAATAATTATTTTCTGTTATTACTTAAGAATCCAGTTTAATATTAAGATAAGTCATAATATAAAAAAAATAATAATTATAAACAACAATGACTGAATCTCTATGAATGTTAATCGTCCGCGCCGAAAATTGTAGAGAGATATATATAGAGTGATTTTTTATTGTATATTTCTGGTAAATTGACCTTCGTGTTTGACCTTGACGACTGTGTCATCCCTACGGTAGCTCCTGTCACTCCTGTGGAACACCTAAACATAAACAAACAAACAGACAAACAAATAGACAACAACCCCGACTAATACTTGCCGACGATAACAACGATTTAATGATTCAAAACACGATAGCGGTTATTTTGTTCTTTTTTTGTATTATAAAGTTGGTAAAATACTAATTCAACTAAGCAATGCATTCTTACTGTCAATCTAACTTTTAAGAACATTGACAGCCTACTAACAGGGGGCATAACTATTAACTGACTCTTACGTGAACTAAACATCTGTGTCAATATTATAAACTGTGTAAGAACGTCCTTCCAATATTTTAAAGACAAACATTCATACAGTACTCTGAAATATATGGATTTTAACCTCAGTATTGAATGCAGCAAGTTAGAGTACATTGCCCTTATTACTATCTATCACAAGGTCGTAATAATACATCAGCTTATGTCTTCGTAACAGAGAAATTCTTAGAGTTTTTATGAGATTTTTCCAACAAATTTCTTTCATCTGCTTTGTTTTGCATCTTACATATGTGAAAATCCACCCATGTTTACTCTTACTACTGAAGGAGACATAGTAGTGTTTTGTATACATACTTAAGAGTGACTTTAGACTTTGATTTGACTCTTAATAACTCTCAAAGACACTTACGATCTGTTATAAATCTGGCGCGTCATCTTCTTTGTTTAAATACGACGTAACACCAACAACCAGGACGAATTGTTTACGTTTCTGAGTACCTGAAAGTGTATAGAGACATTACAGGTATTTACTGAGTACACACGAGACTCTTGACTTAACCTAAATTACTACAAATACTCGGCCGTGTTAGTTACGATGAGTTAGCTTGAGGGAGGTGTATAGGAATAAATTAATATTTGATTATGTACTAAATTAAGCTGTGAGAGTACCATGGAAGGAGGGTGGGGGGGTAGGGTAGGGTGGATCTCTAGTGCTTTTAATGAAGGGTAAGACCGTAGGAGAAATATTCGGGGTCCTATTAAAAAGGATGATTTTGGCCAAAGTTGAAAGTGGTTCTAGTTGGCAGTGCAGATACACCACACTGTAAGCTAATCCCTTTTCTTCGCAACACTGCACTTGACCGCCTTCACTTCCCAACCTGTAAAATAAGGTACCCATTTACAGCTGAGTGGACTATAAGAGTTATCCTGAGTGCTAACCAACGAGCTTTAGGTTATAAGTTGAGCGTTCAATCCACTCGTCTGCCGCACCCCTAAATTAGACCAGTACCATAAATTTGAATAAAAGTTTTAAGACGAAAGAAAGTTGAATTGAATATAAAAAAATAATCGATAAATAAACATAATTAGTCAAATTAAACCGTGATAAAGTTGATTATTTCATTAGGGGGAAAAGGTTGTGTTAATATAGGAGGAGTCTTGGTATTATATTTTCCTTTTGCTTGATGTAAGATAGGAAAGGTTCTCTCGCTGTGGTGAGGGGCGGTTATCACTCTCCCAGGCCTCCACTGATAACGGTTATCGACGTATCTTCTTCCCTCCAAGACCGACACAGCCTCTATAGCGAGACTACACATCGGCCTCTTTACCGGGAGAGAGAGAGAGAGAGAGAGAGAGAGAGAGAGAGAGAGAGAGAGAGAGAAAACATGGTCTCATTTACTATTTTTCACGGCTATGTCTCTCAACCACTTCCCTTACAGAGAGAGAGAGAGAGAGAGAGAGAGAGAGAGATAAAGAGAGAGAGAGAGAGAGAGAGAGAGAGAGAGAGAGAGATAAAGAGAGAGAGAGAGAGAGAGAGAGAGAGAGAGAGAGAGAGAGAGAGAGAGAGAGAGAGAGATCTGCGAACACTACCTTGTAATAAGATGTATCACACCTGCGTCTCGTGAAGGATTACTTTTTACCTTTATCTGACCATAGACTCTCTCTCTCTCTCTCTCGCCCGTCTGGCGGTGTCTCTCACAACCATCACCCCAGTTCGACCCTCAACTATTCTGAGCTCGTGATTAAATTGTTCTAAATTAGCCAAAATGAGCCGAAGTAAGACGAAGATTTCTTAATCACTATCGACTTTAGCACACAAAGGTTGTAAATAATCACGGTAATGAGGGGTGATATTTGAGTGATAAATTCTGTTTGTACGGTATATTTTTTAGTGTTCAACAAACATTAGGTTGGTCGATATGAGGCGAATTTCTTAATTTTATGGCCACTTTCGTGCAAGTATTTTCTAAAGATCCGTGTATGAAATAGAGATCTAGCTTTGATTTATGCGATTTGGAAATATAATGAACGAACCTGTAACTAACCGTGAACATAAACAACTGAACGTCACATTTCTCCCTCTACAGGACAGTGTTACCGTCACCCCCCCTTCCCCCCCAGGCCTCGGCTCCTGCAAAGGCTCTTACACAAAAAAGTATCTTAAAGGTCATCCATTTACCCACTATGAAAGGCGTAGTTTATAGTAATAAAGCGCCTTCGGTGTTTTATTCAGCGTGTCTTGGGTCTAACCTTGGAAGGTCGAGTATATGGAGTATGTGAACCTTCCTCACCCCTTCCTCACACCTTTCTCACCTTCCTCACCATCCTCACACCTTCCTCACCCCTTCTTCACACCTTTCTCACCTTCCTCACCATCCTCACACCTTCCTCACTCCTTCCTCACACCTTTCTCACCTTCCTCACCATCCTCACACTTCCTCACTCCTTCCTCACACCTTTGAAGTAAATCTCGCTAGGTTAGGTTTTCTAGGTGTCGTCTGCCCTCAATTAATGGTTTAGCCCAGCAGTCTACCTCAGAGGCCCTTGTCAACAACACCGTGAGTGACACCGTAGGAACACTGTCAACGTTATTCTCGTAAATTCACACTTTTTTCTTTCCTTTTTTCCAACAAGATTTACATTCTATAAATTGAAGCAAGTATTCATAAACACCCCCAACGATATATAATTAGCAACGAATAAAGACGTGACCCTCTCCTACACGGCTTCCAGGTGAGGGTTCAGTCCTGGGTTCCTGTGAAACCTAATATCAACTCTCAACTTGATCACGTGATGTAAGTGTAATGTCAATGGGTGCAATACTCTCCTTGACCAGTGATCGATTCCAGTGTTGTCAAATCAAATGTCAGCTGATGTCACACTCAACTCGTCCACGTGAAAGAAACATGTTGTGTCTTTTTTGTAATGGTGCGAGATACAGGCAGTTAACAAACTATTCAAACGCCCGAGAGAGATCTAAACACTAGACAAAATAAATATTGACTTCTGTGATATGTCAGGTGAGTTAACATTGGTTTTCAGCTGCTGTAAGTCATAGTTGGAGACACTATGTTCACTACGCCTCTGTTAACATCACGTTTGACTTGTTTGATTGTAAGTCACAGTTGCGACTTGTGAGGGAATACAGACTCAAGTGAATGGCTTGTTATTGGGCAAATATAACAGAAGCATTCAGCTCCTGCCATCACTTCCAAACAGCGTCGTGTTGACAAAGGAAAATTGAAAAGTCTGGAATCAAGAACTGAGATGGGGACATGTGTGAGGACTCAGCAGAGTTACTAAAGGGCTGTGTTGAGAGTGAGTCGTGTTGGCAGAAAATTTATTCATGAGAATTATGGAGGAGCAAGTACTGTGTTAGCTGACAGTAAGTTTATTTCTAACGTACAAATTCTTCTTGAAAATAATTAGCGAAATGTGTAACAGGTTAGAATGTTAGATTATGGGTGTCCGCTTTTTTCTTACACACACACACACACACACACACACACACACACACACACACACACACACTGTGGGATTACTGGCGCTTGAGAGTACTTTCCTTAGCTGCTATAAATGACTCGATCTAAGGGCGTCTAATAATATCTAAGGTCACCCAGGATTAAATAAGTACAATCAGGGTCATATGAGGTCATCTGGAGGTAACATAAGGTCATCTGGCATCACGCATCAGGTCAGTTAATGTAGTGGGACGTTATTCTTAGCAGACGTCATGGAGGGGCCCAGGGTTAACCAATGAGTGTACGTGAAACCCAGATACGCATGGCTCAATCCCTGCCCCAGGCCACCCTCCCTCCCTCCCTCCCTCCCTCCTGCGTCTCTGGCTATGTCTTGCTGGATAAGAAGATTTTCTCTCTCCGTGATGCTCGAAGCGACAGATACCTTCCATCAGTTCCTCCCTCCGTAAGTCCCGCCTAATCTGCGACGTGCCAACCTCAACGCTCGTCTCTCTGGCCCAAACTTAATTGCATCGCGGCGACACTGTGGTGATGGTTGTGGAGGCCATGTGATGGGTTCTCTCTCTCATGTCTGTTTTGGTTTATTGGTTATGACTGTGCTGTTGTTATTGTTGTTTTATTGTTACTTTACTTTTAACATTATTGGAATAATAATAATAATAATAATAATAATAATAATAATAATTTATACACATTATTATTTTATTATAAATATTGCTGTTTCTGTTGTTGATGCTTTTCTTATTTAATTATTCCTCCTCCCTCCTCCTCCTCCACGTCCTGCCCCCCCACC